CCAACATACGTAAAGATATTACACATAAAAAATACACGGAAACATTGGAAATCAGTTTTTGGCAGGCAATCACTTTTTGGCACAACACCGGTTAGCATTAGCTTAGAATTTGGCTAAATTCTAAGCTAATGCTTGGCTCACTGAATGCTCCAACGTCATTGGTCAGGTGTAATGTTGATGCTGGATCAACATTATTATGATGATAACAACATCAACACGGGGATATCAGACCGTGAGTAATGTGCAGCTAGGTCTGTAGTTCTGTCCACGTAGTTTATTTACATATTATTATTTCCCACATATGTATTCTGAGTCAGCGGTATTCTTGAAGCACACTAGCTGATGTTTTAATGGCTAACCTGACTTTACATCACCACTTTTTCACTTTCAATCCTAAAGTTAACGTTACTCTATGTTATATACCAACACAGAGTATGTTATCATATTACATTATCAAAATTTGTTTTTAAGACTGTTATTTTTTACAATTTGCTGTGAACAATTTGACAATTTTATAGTCCGTATAGTACGTAAATGTTAAGCTCAAGTAAGAGAATAATAAAGGATGTTACTACTGCACTACTCCAACCAGTTTTTTTAATACGCTTGTCTCTTTCCCAGCATACGCAGACTGAGTTAGAGGATACTATTATTTAGCTTTAGCTACATATTTACTGTTGACATACAGATTAGCTCTGTACTTAGCACTGATACAAAAAAAGAGAGGAAACACAAAATAAAATCCAACTGTCAACAAGTTTAAAGAAAAGTATTTAAACTGTTCACTCATGTTGTCATCCACATGGAAACTAAGCTATCATCTGACAGGGAATCTGGATCAAACTAGTTTGTAACTGGGGACAGTGACTTCCGTGAGTTTCTTTTAATTTCCTTTTTTTTTTTCACTCCCAGTTTGATAAAATGTTGTTTTTGATTTTGTTGCTTATGAAAAGAAGTTTGTGCGTTACTTGTTAACCCTGTTTTCAGTAATTATACTAAGCTAAATGGCTTCATAGCTTCATTGACTCTTCTTATTTAAGTCTTGGCTCATGCATTTTCCAGGACTGCTACTTAACTTTAATCTATGTTTATCTTTGCTGTCATTTCCATGAGTTTCATGAACGGCGTATAAACTCGCATTCCTGATCGTGGTTGAGAAGAGGGCGGGGATGAAGTGGACTCTTCTGGCATGGAGTGTGTGCCTCTGCTTGTTTGTGCGTCCAATTCGTCTTCTCCAGGCTGGACCGGACTGACACCAGCTTCAGACTCAGATGGGTGGATGTAGGAGAATGTCCCATGCTCCTGTGAGGGTCTGGAATCCAGGAAGCGGCTGTACTGGACAGGAGTGTACCTTAGTAAACTTGAATGTAGCCTGCTGGGGGGAGGGTTATTAAGCTTAAACGTCCTTGGCTGAGTGGGCAGTGTTAGAGAGATCGATGGATGTTGAATGGGAGGTGATGATGAGGGTTGTGCCAGGGATGAGGGTGCTATGGAGGAAGGGTTTGGACTAAGTGAGAGAGGATGAGTGGGTGATAAAGGCTGTGTGGGTGACAGTGGTTCGGTGGGTGATGGGAGTTTCACAGGTGATAGAGGATGATCAGGTGATGGGGGTTGGATGGGAGAGAGATGAGTTGGTTCACACTGAACAGGCTCAACATCATACCTCTGTGCTTCATGTCTGCAGAAGCACAGTCAGAAACCAGAGTGAGAAAACACCTCCTAATCAAGAAAACACAACCCAATGCTACTTAGTATCACAATCCTACCTGGGGAGCAGATCACAGCCTACTCCTCTCTCTCTGGTTTCCAAAACCTCTTGCGTCTTATTCTGTGTGGACATAAAATACTTGAGCTTGTCTTCTAATTCATTATTCTAGGAAAAGGAAAAGAGGAAACAAGAAATATCAGGTCAGTTACATGCAAAAGACTGTCGTCACTTTGCATGAAAAAAATGACCTGACGCTTGCAGCAACAAACAGTAGAGGGGGATTAACACAGTTATTCAGTGGTCAGAAGCCCATGTGATCATCTGAAGCCATGAAGCAGATTATCACACCACACCACCAGTTATTAAAACACACAGAAAACACACCAGTCTCATCCTACCTCACACTCCACTATTGCAATCCTGTCCAGAAGCTCAGAGATGAACATGTCCTTCTGAGCAACTTGAGCTCGCAGAGATTCGACCTTCACAAATTCAAAAAGATAAACATTTTAAAAACATTATTTATATAATTTACAGGGAAAACAGAAATGGAAAATCCAGTTCACAGCAAACTTAACTAGAGTCGTTATCTAATCTCTGTTTTTGCCATACATAGAAATGAGGCAATGAATAACTGAGCTATAAATACTTCAGTGAAGACAAATAATGCCCCTTTATCTCCAACCCTTTCCCATCAAAATTATGAACATGAATTCACCCCGTTAGCATGATGTCGCGCCCTTTATTGACTCTTGTGCAGTGAAGTTCTCCGTTCCTTGTGTGCATTGACATTATCCATGGTTTTAATGGCAAACAGGCTACTTATGTAAATGTATGAGACACTCCCACTATAAAAACAGTGGAACAGAGGAGTTGAATCCATGGTCTACATACAGATAAATAAATCCTACTCACCTCCTCAATCATTCCTTTGACCTTCCTCTGTTGACAGAACACCATGTCGTTCAAGTGTTTGATCCTCTCGCGGAGATCACCTGCTTCACCTTCCAGCTCTTTGGACCTAAAAAACAACCACGATGTAGTCCCACATATGAAGGAAATAGGACTCTAGCACTCTGATTCATTTGCAAACATCGATGAAAAGAGTTATGTGCTTTTTTCCCTTCTAGGTAATTAATCTGCCTGCACAATGCTATAAACATCCTGAAAAACTCCTTTTAATTGCTCCAAAGTGCATCTTGCTCAACTGGTTTAAAGGGCCTAGCGTAAGCCGCACTGCTTCAAGCTTCAAGAAAAAGTGTTTATGAAGGTTCTTAGCTGACTTGAAAAAAACCTTTCAGGTCTGCACTTTAGTACATACGAAAGAATTTTAAGCTGAACTTTTACACAAAAAATAACATGTTTATTTTTTTTATTAATATCCCATCCTATTCAATTATTTCTCAGTATTATTGTTGGATGTGCTGTCTGAGGTGGGGTTTATCGTGCATCCTGTGTGTTTGCAGCTCCTTGTTTAAGATCTCTGCACCAAGAATGAAAGTTTATCCCTGATGTTGGAAACAGTTTGAGAAAACAAACCAAAGACAAAGAACTTCCGCACATCTAATGCAGTCTTGGCCAAGTTTTATCCACTTTTAGAGAAAGGGCTGTAATAGAGCCTTTAGATTCACGCGCAGCTTAAATTTTCTATCTGGACTTTATTTTGTACCTTTTGGCTACAGTATTGTCAGTTCTGTCCGTCACCTCCATCAGGCGTAGGCGCTGTTCGCAGTCCTTCAGCTGCTTTTCCAGTTGGCTCTTCTCCTGTGGAAATCACAACATTTTATCTGTTTTCCTATGGCTGAAAGAAAATCCTAATACTCAAAAGTTTGAGTCTTTTTGGGAAGTAAAATCACTGACATCGGTCGTCTCCTTAGATTACAGGGTCCTGATGGGAATTCTTTACTATTCATAACAATGTAACTTTGGCACGTAACATCCACCTGAAAAGATTCTCCTGGCAGGAAAACACTCCAAACTCCAACAATCCCTATCAGTTTGAGCATCAACTAAAGCAAGGTAACAATCCCAATCCATGGAGGCCCCACCCCACAGTCCACAGGAGTCAAAGGATTGACTGCTGGCACCCCCAGTGGTCCCGTGCCCAACCAGTTTGAGCTGTAGGGAAACCTCGGTATCAGGCATGTGGTTTTAAAGTAGTGGGTCCTAGGTGTTTTTGCAGCTGGCCAAGTGTTATGTTGTATGCAGTAAACATGGACTGAACTCCACTACGTGCACATGTATATGGTCATAACCTTTTACAGAAGGTTGCTTTTGTACATTTAAGAAGTATCATCTTCATCGTTTCCTAAACATTTGACTGATATATGACAGATCCCTCAAAGTATTGTGTAATTTTTGTTTTACACAATTTTGTTCAAGGGTCAAGGGAACAGGAAGACATATACATACGTTACATTTTTGACTTACCTTTCCCATGCAGTCCAGGAGACGCTCCACTTCCATGATCCTCTGGTCCCTCTCTGCAATCTTGGCTTCTGCAATTTTGATGTTTCTCTCCGCTTCCTCCAGTCGTCTGATGTACTCATCGAGTTGGGCCTGTGCAAACAGAAATATGTCTGCCACTCTTCTCTCAGCTTAGGCTTGCCTCATTGTCAAGAATTTTGTAACTTTTTTTATTTGTAAATTGTGTACAGTTATTTCCTTAGGTAATCTACGTCAATAGGTTTGGTTTCTGCTGTCAAAATAAAAACAAAAACAAAGTGTGATGTATGTATGAATAAGGACCAAAGAATGCAGACCTGTAGGTTTTCAATCTCCTCCCTGTGCCTGCGTTGTTCTTCCAGCAGCTTTTCCTCGTACTCTTTCTCTAGCTTTTCCGAGAGCTCCTTTAGCGCCTTATCGTTGGCCTCCCGTGAAGACTCCACCTGGACAGTCCACAGCATAGCAAAAATTAGCATTTTGCTCAGCTGATTAGGCCACATTCTTCTCAGGGTAGAAGATGCAGATGCAGCTGATGTGTTTCTGTTCCGCAGCAATATGATATGTTAACAGAGCTGCTCGATAAAAGTTTGCTGTGTCTCAGATCACACAGTGATTTGAAAGCTGGACTCTCTGCTTTCTAATGTAAATTTTAAATTTTTTAAAAAAAAAACTAGGACAGGAGATGGTTTCTCAAAACTTCAGGAACTGTGATGTTGATCGGTAAGGCTGGATTTTAATGTTACCTGCTGCAGAGATAGAAAAATGTTCTTTCATTTATTGATTTATTCACTGTTAGTAGGGGTCATGAAGTCCTAAACGTCCTGTCCTTCCATCACTCTTACTGACTCATCAGACCACTTTGTTACAGGACAGCTGAGCACTTCACTGTCCCTTTAAATGTACACAAAGTAGCGCTTGCACAAAACTTGAGGGAAAATTTTGAATTCCACCCATTTATTTTGGCCATGCTGACATCTCGGTCTCGTGGCCTTGTGGCATTAGAAGCAGCCACTTCCACTGTAAAGTTTTGTGGGTTTTTTTAATCTGTGGACATGTGGATTCATGTTCATTCCCACAGAAAGAGTTTGTGTTTGCGGGACTACCTGAAGCCTGAGAGTTTGGTTTTCAGCCTGTACTGCAGCCAGCTCGTGCTCCTTGTCTCTGAGCTGTTGTTGTGTTTTCTCATAGGTGCTCCGCAAACTTTTCACATTGTCTCTCGAGCTCACTCTCTTCTGACAGTCGTCCAGAAGGGATTTCTGCAAAGGGAACTTATTTTAGCCAGTGAAGACTTTTTGTAACAGCATCCAGCTGCCGGAGTAAAAAAGGAAAAGAAAATGTCTTCGGAGTGTTTGGTGACTTTGATTTGTTACCTGCAAGGTGAGGTTAGCAGATATGAGGGAACTGTTCATCTGATCATAGTTCTCCATGGCTGCCGTGCGGATCTTAACCTCTGACTCTAGACTCCTCTTGTGTGCATTGGCAGCCTGCAGAAACACGTGGCACACAGCTTTTTTCAGATTTATGCACAGCTTTACAGGTCAGAGTTTGATGAGGAATGTCAGTGCATCCGGTCACATGGTGTTGTCATAATCTTTACCCTGAGTTCCTGCGAAAGCTTCTGCATTGATTGCTGCATTCCTCCAAACTGTCCATACATCCGCTCTCTAACCTTTTCAAGAGAATCTCTCACCTGCAAACAGAAACCAGGAAAACACAGATATCATCTAAACAGAAACCCACTCGGCCTTGTATGGATGATGTGATGGTAAAAGAATGATTGGCCTGAAGGCTCAGTCTTTCCTCACCTCCCTGATGTATCTCATCTCATCTTGTAGGTGACTGGTTGTCCACTCGCGTGCCAGCACCTCCTGTCTATCCGAGCCTGTCCTCTGCACTACACCATACACTTTGGGCCCATGATGCCGCAGCGAGGTCTCTGGCACCCCATTGGTCATGTCTCCGAGGTGCTGAGGGAGAGAGGATCGTGCCGGTCAGGTTTCTGTAGCTACCTACCGCTGAGGCAGGCTTATGCTGGCATGGTGTCTCTGTGTTTGCGTGCACACTTACAGATGCACTGCATGAGTCTGCATGTACATGCACATGCATACATATGTGCAAGTGATCAAGTATTTCAGCGCCCACGCTGCTGTGCAGTGGAAATAAGAAGTTGGCAATGTGCAGCTAAAAAATGGTGCAGAGTGCATCGAAGGTGTCGTGTTTCTGCAACCCAGGACATGAGCTGCTACCCATTTCTGCCTATTGTGCCTCTAACAGCCAATGAAAACAGATGCACACCAGCACAGGAGCAGTGTGGCACAATGCAATGACTAAATAATACACAGCAAAAGTCCTGGGCACAAATAAAAACAACTTTAGCTCAGAGACTACATTTCAATCAGTATTTCAGCTGTAATGCAAGAGCAAGGTGCTTTACTTGATAAAGAGAAATGCAGCTAACACTTTTGTTCATTATCAATTGGTCTTCCTTGATAACTTTTATGTATAAAGTGCTTCACAGTGTACATGCGCCAAAATAGAAACACACTGTCGAGCATGCGGTCATATATCCTTATATACACACATTTGGTGTAAAATGATGAAGAGCTGTAAACAGACGCTGCAGGGATTTTTCTTCTGCTTAAAATGTAACTTAAGCAGTCAGTTATTCTAATTGAATTGAATGTTAATTGAATATCTAAGTAAGTCAAGTTTAAATTTTGCATGATCCAGCTCATTTTATTAGCTTTGCCATAGTTTATCACTTGAAACAAATAAAAACAAATAGAAACACTTTGAACACACCTGCTGTCTTTAAACTGTGATGGTCACAGCATTTGCCACAGTGACCTGTGAGCCTCTGTTCATGCTGAATGTGTGAATACAATATTAATGACAGCCTCACGGTGCATGCGCAGGGCACACTCAGTGAAGCAGTGGCTGTTTTGTCTACCTGCTGAGGTGACTCCTGGCCAGGTGGACTCTCTCTTTGGATGAGCCCGTTCTTCCTCTTCCACATCCCATTGACATCTTTTTCATTTTCAGTCTGCAAAATAAAAGAAAAACAGGTCAAGAACACTGATGTGGATGGCTTCCATTCAACCATCCTTCCATTCATTCTTCCATTCTCTTGACAGCATATCCAAGCAGGGAGCCTGCTCTTAAGTCCATTGCGAATTCTAACATCCACGTCTTTAGTACAAACAAGCACTCAGTCAAACTCCACGCAGGCACAGGTTCTACATTCAAACACTACACTGCAGGTTCAACCCCGTAACTTCATGTTGTGAGGCTATAGTGCTGACCACTGAACCACCATGCCACCCATGATTCGTGTAAAACAAAACATTTTCAATTAAGCTTTATCATTTGTGTATATATTCTACAGCACGCCTCATGTGAGCCTAAAGTGCAGGATTCTAAACAAAAATGCAAGTAAACACTCTCTTGAAGTATTTATTTAATTGTATGTGAATATTATATAGTTTCTATAGATCTATAGATAGATCTATAGATAGACAGATTCTGATATCTTTTAGATGTCTCTACACAAAGAAGTCATTCATTGAGGACTACCACTCAGAAAAAGAGGTATCAGTGTCCACATCTCACAGAGATAAGAGCGAGGAGGAACAAAGACGCCAGTGTGGTCTCGTGGACAGAGCCCAGCCTCACATTTCTGCACCACTCAATCTACAGAGGACCTGCTGTTGAGAAATGGAAAAGGCCTGCTAATAGGCGGGAGGATGTGGATTCCAGCAGATGGGAGGGAAGCACAGCCATCTTTATCAGTTCGCTTCACGAAGCCCTGCGTGCTGCCCATTCAGCTTTGAACTTTACAATGTTTGACCACATGCTGGTCCGTGTTTACCTGCCCTTTGTAAGTTTTGTGGGAGAAGCACTCTGGCTTACTTTTCCTCTGTTGCTTGAGGAGCTTGAGCTGTTCACAAATGTTAAAAAAAAATGCTCGGAGACAGCTCGGTAAAATAATCTTGCATCAGTGCATTGTCATCTAACACTGTCATTTGTTTGTATGAACTCACTCCTCTATCATATGACTGCACCGTCTGACCTGATTAGCTCCTTATTTGTCACACAAGCACGGAGGATGCTCACTGTAACTCACTGGGCTGAACCGTGTTCACTTTACGGCTGTTACGGAGATGAAATCCAATGCTGCCGGTATAGAAACATCGTCTGGTAGCAGTTCTCTGTTTACTTCCCCTGCGTTTGTCATGATTCACATGTGCTACATATCATCTAGGCTGCAGTCGCCGGTTGGATATAATCCACGATGTCTCGAGTTGCAGGACACGCCCTTTCTAACTTCACAGCGAAGAACCAGCATTCCTCTTGAAACACGGTATCGCTGGATATCTCTGAGAAAAGATATTTTGGTCATTTCCTTCCTCGTTGATTAACTGCATGCAGTCCCCATTACCACATTCCTGCTGACCTTCATTTGACCTTCCATGGTGATGACATCTAAGATCTAAGATAATGTAACTAGAGCGAAAAGTTATCTGAAAAACAAGCATCAGTACCCAGGTATTTTGCAACAACACAGTAATTACAGCAGCGCCTGCAGAGACCTTAAAGCGCCACACTGAAAACATGATGAACAGATGAACTAGGCACAAGTTTTAACCTCTCGAACCTCTAACTGGCTCCAGCCTGGTGTTTTCTACTCTGTGCTGCAGGTCCACGTATACTTTAAGCTTCAGTTTGCTGTTGAACTTCAGTGAAACTGAGGCGGATGACTTCATGATGATTAGGGTTCAGGAATGATAAGACTGCTTTCAGACTTGCATCAGCGCTGTAAAAGGTACAACCAGCAGTCACAGGCGACATGTTGTCTAATACTTTCTGATAGGAAAACTTTTTTCACATGATACAAGAAAACAGGAGTGGTAGTGTGGAGTAAAGTGGTATCTTTATGATAGCTTTATGATGATTGTGAAATACCTCACTGTAAAGAAAATCTGCATCTGGATTGGTCTCAGAAATCCAGTTTGTGTTGCCATGAATCCCCCCCAGCAGCGGTGATGTTACTCTGTTACTCAGCTGTTTTTATTTTTAAAAACACCCTTCTGTTCACTCGTTACATCGCTTGTTCCCATTTTCATCTCACAGACAGATGCTGACGGTGCTGCTGGAGTCACTGATGTCTGTTCTGGGACAAACCGGCTGCCACTCGCAGAGGGCACAAATCTGCATCCTTTCCAAACATTAAAGTGCACATCAGCTCTAAACACGTGCGCTTCCCTGCACTCTGTGTTCACACTTCATCAGACTGTCCTTTGTCATGAGTTCCAATAGTCGCAGTCACACCCTCCCAAAGGCAGCCACATTCAGAGATTACTTCAGTGTGCTATCGGTGGAAAGACTGGACATGTTGTATAAGGTTCATTCAAAACTAGCCATTGTGTTTCTGGATCCTGCACACCGCACAGTTATACAAGGAAAAATCTCTCCTCAGAGATTAAACCTAACCCAAGCATTGCAGTCAGTTCTCGCATTTTTGCTCTGAAACTTTGGCATCAGCCTCCGATCACAAACAAAGACCGGGGCAGAGCCACCAACAGCAAACACCCACGCAGCCTGCGGCGTCGACTCAGCCATAATTCACAGGATCACAGAGCACACCAACAAATATTAAATGTGACTAAGAGTAATTCTGCACCTCGGTAGGCAAATATTAATTTCTCATGAGCTCTGTTTGTTTTAGTTACCATCCTTTGGAGTTAATACTGTTAATACTTATTAGCATTTTCTGTTCTGTGGAAGAGTGTTAGAGCACAGATGGAGCAGAGCTTTGAAGTAAATGTAAAACAGCTGTGTGTGCATTATCTCTCTCACACACACGCCCTCCTGTCATGATTGCATAACTGGACCAGATGATAAAAAGCACATAAATCTCAGCTTTTCCACCATCTTTCTTTTAATGGTTTATAAGATGAATTGAGGTGTGTGTGGGAGGGGTTTCTGTTTGGTTTTTATTGGTGCTTTTACTCCCACACGTCACTATTTCTGATCAGCAGTGTCAAACTGAGTCGAGTGTGATGACGTTTCCTCTTTAATGTAACTTTACGTATTGTACCGTATGGATTTGAAGCCGGTTCTGGCCGGAGTAACAGGGTGGAGGTAACACTGAGGGAGACGCAAAACTTACAGTGTCTGACTTTTCAGCTTTGGGCTCCTTGTTTCCATTTTCTCCGGGATACAGAGTCAGTCTCAGGCGTCTGATTCTCCTCTGGAAAACAAAACAAACACACACGGACAAAAAAGGCAAATGTTTGAATTTAGGCGAATTTACAGACGGTCATCATGAAGAAAGATAAAATTCAGATCTAAATATCTCGGACATTGTGGCAAAGCTTGAACTGTCAACTAAAAGGTTCTGTGAGCTTATTCACATACAGCAGCAACAGGGCACCAAACAAAGTTTATGTAAATGCAAAACAGAGTAAAATGTAAAAATGTAAAACAGATACATGGAAAGTGGGAACTCTGTTTGATTTTTTATTATTTTGAGGTTTTTCATAAGAAATTTAGTACAAAGAAAAAAACTGAACTCTTCAGCAGACCCTACAAGCGTGCTTCACTAAATATTACGGTACGCGTTGACCTGCATGAGGCGACCATGGGAATAAAATAAAACGTGGGGCAAGTACAAAGGCCTGTTTTATCAGAGAGCTGTTCAAATAAACATGACAGCTCTGCCTCCTGCACGCTCAGCTCCCATTACACACTCGTGTAAGTGAACAGAGCCACACGTCCTACAACAGAGTCAGAAAACATTAGAGAGAGAGAAAATGGATCTCTTTGCTTACAGACAGGAAAACAAGTGTCAGCAGAGTTAAAAGCAACAGCCGACAAACAGAAGAGGGGAGGAAAAACCTCGACTGGACAAAACACAGAGAGAAGAGGAGAGCAGAGAGAAATGGGGGGGAAAGACAGAGAGATCTTCAGTGTTCTCGCTTTAAGAGAGCTTCTTACCTCTCTTAAAGCCTCTGGAGAGTCCTCTGTTGTGGTGGTGGTGGTGGAAACAGTTGGTCTTGAACCGTAGCGAAGCATGTCTCCTCTAATGTCCACTCCTGGCTTCTCTTCCTCTCCCTCTCTGGCTGTCCTCCCACCCTTCCTCTCAATCTCCTTCCTGAGTTCTGCTCAGATTCTCAGAGCGACCATTCGCCCCCGGCCCCAGCCTGGGAACAGGAGGGAAATTCCACTCTAAGTCTGCTTCTGCTGCTGCGTCTGCAGTGGGTATCCTCAGGGCTGCGAGGTTCCCCCTCAGTCAGTGAAATGATCAGGTGCAAACCAGCTCTGCTCTCAGCAGCACAAACACAACAATGTCATTGTCCTAATTCCAGCCAGACTGCTCCTAAAGCCACCTGACTGACAGGCTTGTCAGTCACTCAGCAATCCTCTCTGCACTGACTACGTCTCTCTGCACTCCCATCAGACCTGTCGGGCCACATTTCACCTGCTTCGCTCTTTTGCGCCTCCTGGCCCTGAGAGCAGGACTTTCGCAGGCAGGGCGGGTCCTTTTACTCGGGCTGGGACAGGTGGAGCACGCCTTATCAGAGGGAATGGCTAATAAGAGGAGCCCACGGTTCACATGAAGCAGTGAGACAATAACTGCCTGCCAGGCCTGTTATACACACAAGAGTTATTAGACTTAAAACACATTTAGATTAAGTTTTGCTTTGTGAGAAGAGAAAAAAAAACACATTGAGTGGCAGAGGTAGGGTTTTTTTTAAAGACTTAAAATAAAGAATTTTCATTGAGATGGAATCTGATTTCTCCCTCTTATTCACTCGCTCTCATTATTTGCTCTCGCATGTAGGACTGCCAAGTGCATTATGGGGGCTCTTATATAATAACCTTTAAAAATTAAGGGTCTTTATCTGATTGAAACCTTTACATAAACCAAGAGAGTTATTCTTTTTTAAATTTGCTAATAAAAGTCCATAATATCATTTAAATTGGAGGTTATATGTAGGAAGACAGGCCATGGAATAAAAAGACAAAAAACAAAAGCTCATAGACTTCCACGTCTGAATGGACAGTGTGTCATGCCCTGTGATTTCAAAGGTCTGTTTATATCAGAGTTTATTAGTTTCCTCAGTTTTTTCTCTTACTTTCCTTCTGTGTCTGTTTCCTGTATCGAGTTTTCCTGTATCGAGTTTCCCGCTTTAGTTATTGTTACTTTCTTCCTGTTTTACTTTGCTACTTAGTTGTCTTCTGTCTTGTGTTCAGTCTTACTTCCTCCTCTGTGATTGTGCTGATTGTGTCCACCTGTGTCTTGTTTCCTCCCAGCTGTGTCTCTGGTCAGTGTGTGAGTATAAATAACGCTGTCTTACCTTTGTCCTCTGTTACAGTGTTTGCTTACCCTTAGCACGCTTCCTTCTGTCCCCCCTGCTGGATTTAGATGAACTTGTTTATGGACTTTGTTATTTGAATTTCATGCATCAATAAAAGAGTGCTTTTTGTTTGTTTCACCTGCGTCACCTCAGTCTTCTAAACAAACCGTACTTGTTCTGTTTTCAATCGTACAGTCACAAGCTTTAAGATTTAACGTGCTGACTGAGGCCTGTAGAGTCTGAGATGTTGTTTTTTTTTCCTTTTTTTCATTACATGATCTGACCTGGGTTTGAATTTGCTGGGAAGATTGTGGCATTGTGTTAACACACGGCTGAATGATACAGACCAGTAAACCGACAGAATTTGTGCTTTTATAGAGGTGCTGATTGTGACTTAATCGAGGGCTTTTCATTAGCAGCACCTGGCTGCTACTTATCCTCCTAATGAAAACAGCGAGGGTGTTGCTTTTCCACATGACTGTGAATGCCAACCAGCCAACAGAGGAGGTGCTACACTAGATAAATTATTGATATCGTGAGAGGGATGAAAAGGAAGACCGCACTGCAAACATGATTTTTTAATGTTTTTCCTTACCACTCCATGTTTCACTTGGTTTTACACTGACAAAATATGCGCTCTGCTTATGATTATTTATGCTGACAATTATCTTTGAGGACCAGAAGCACAGTCTTCTGCACAGCCAGATCACATTCCTCTTTTGAATGGCTGCAGTCACTCCCTTTCAATAGAAACTAGAGACAAAGTCTCTGAAGAATGAGGAATCAAGTTTAAAGACTCAAGTTGCCTGGCGAGAGCTCGTTCAGTTGCACGTGGTGCTTCATCAAAGCTTTGCTGTTAGCTCACGTCAATAAATATGATGAGAAAAGCTCGCAGAATAATACGAGATGCATTTCTACTAGTCTCTGTGGTTAATCGTTAACCAGACATCAAACAAATGGTGCTTTTGCAATCAGTAAGGTAGCCACTCTGTCCAAGTCCAATGTCATATGGAAGTTCTCTCTCATAAATGTGTGATATTCACCTCCCGTCACAATCACAAATTCACTCTCTGGATTAAATCCACAGTACTGGTGTCACAACATCAACCAGATTTACAGGACGAAAAAGTTTCTAAAAATACTTTCTAAATAAAGAAGCAACATGAGTACATTTATAAGCAGAAAACAGAGCAATAATTCATACATGACAAATAGCAAAATAGAGTAAACAGTGTTGTTAATACTGTTAGTAAACAAAGAACACTAAATAGCGATTTTAATTCATCTTTAGCGATGCTATTAGTTATGTCATAATATTGTGACATAAATAATAACATTCTTCTTCTTACCTAATTCAAGGTCACAGACAGGTTGGAGTCTGTCGCAGGTGTCATAGGGCAAGACGTGGGGTACACCCTGCACCAGGGCTGGGCAACTCCAGGCCTTGAGGGCCGGTGTCCCTGCAGGTTTTAGATGTGTCCTTGAACCAACACAGCTGATTTAAATGGCTAAATTAGCTCCTCAATATGTCCTGAAGTTCTCCAGAGACCTGCAGGACACCGGCCCTCGGGGCCTGGAATTGCCCACCCCTGCCCTGCACCCTGGACAGGTCACCAGTCTATCAAAGAGTAAACACAAAGAGAGAGAGACACAACCTCATATTCATACCTGCAGCCAACTTAGATCCACCTGCTCCACACAACAGACCTACGCTGTGGGTAGATTTAAAGAGACTGTGAAGCAACAGTGCTGACCAGTAGACCACTATATGACCCGTTAGTGTGTTTTTATTCATTTATTAATCATTCACAAATGTTACGCAAGTGTGAGTCTGTCCTGCTATACAGAGCATCAAATACTGCCTTTTAGTCAAACCAACTGACAAGCCAGCGATATGGAGAAGGTGTGTTTCAGCAGTGGTCCTATAAACCACTGCATGCTGCATTAATGAGGACAAACTCATACTTTAATCACTAATCATGATCCTTGTCCTGCTCAAACAGGTTTTGGAAAAAACTCTCACGTTGTCAACTGAAGGTGGGAGTACTGACAAGTGGAAAGAAAAATAAACAGCGAGTGAAGCAGGCCACAGCCTGCAGCCTCCAGCTACACAGTCTTTTATTTATGACGCCACCACCCGATCTTCCCATTTCACGCTCTTTAAAGCAAATGTAAATGGCAATTTTAACTTTATAATAAGTATGATTGAGTTTTTAATGATTAGTAATAAGTGCATAAGGATGTTTTAGGAATGTAAAAAATAGCTGGAGTTTTAGTTCTACCCAAAGGAAATATGGTTAAACTGGTATGTACAGGTTACAGATTAAGATTAATCAACTGATACTACCGTAGCAAGAGCACACAGAGAGCACAACTCCCTGCGGAGGGCAACAGCTATACTAAAACTTTGTAGTTTACTCACTGTCCCGAATATCGAAGTGAAGTTTGGAGATGTTACATAAAAAACTGTGGGTAATATACAGTTTTTACTGATTTCAAATTTGCTGTGACTTTGACCCAATTTTCACCAAAATTAAATCAGCTCAAGCTGTATCTGGTTTATACTGTCACACAAAATTTGTGGCTGGAAAAGCAAGTTTTTGCTCAGGAAACTTTTACTTTTTCCGGCCTTTCTTTTTAATTGACGAAGGCAGAAGATCGTGGTTTTGAATACACCAGCCAGGTGGGGCCTGTTTCTGCACAGAAACAGGCCCCACCTGGCTGTGCTTGTTCTCTCTGAGTACCCCAAATACTCGGGCTTCGTCCTATCATTAACAGCTACAGGCTCCAGCCCCCCTGTAATAAACACGAGGAAATGAATGAGTGATGATGGCGGTAATTGTCCGATTTGATCAGTAATGACTACTTCTGTAAACTCCTGATCACACAGTAATGACTCAACATTAACAAAATGCTAATGTCATGTATAATACTACTACAATCCAAGCTATTAGAATATATTTTTTTGGACACTTTAAGTACATTTAAAAACAAAATGCATACTTGCATTTAACTAATATTTCCATTGCAGTAGTTTTACGTAGAGGAATGTGTATTGCTGTTGTGACTTAATTAAAGTATCTGAGCACATTCACCACCACTAGAAGACAATGATAATTAGAGGTTCACATTAAACACAGTAATAAGGAGACTATTGTTTGCTGGTGCCTGCAGGTTACAGGTGTTTGATCTTTTTGGTGTGTGGGACTGGCTGTTTGTGTGGGATTTAGCTGTTGAAACCGACAACAGTAGTTGGTGACTTCTCAGCATCCCTGCAGCAGTGAATTTCAGCTTGTAGTTGCTGCTACTGTCATGATGCCTGGTTTTGGCCCCAAAGGTTTGATCCCATAGAGTTTTGTGCATTTAGTGTAATATTCTGTCTTTAGTTCCTACTTCATGATTATTCCAGCGATGAGTTTCAGTTTTGTATTCGAGATTTGGTTCATGTCTTGATTTTGATCCGACATCTCTTTTTTTCATGTTTAATGTGAGTCTTCCAGTCTCTATGTTTAGTATATGTTCTTACCTAGCTTCCCTTTCCTGGCCATGTTTTCCTTGCATCCCCGATTGTTGCCATTTGTTTTATGTTGTTCTGAGCTTTGTTCCCTACCTCTCTGTGTATAAATGGTCCTGCTGTATGATCAACCCTTTATGTATAAATAGTCCTGATGTCAAATAAATAACTTTCTGTGTATAAATAGTTAAGATGTCTGATCAGTCCTCTGTGTATAAATAGCCCTGTCTTCCATCTTGTGTCAGTTTGACCATGGATCTCGTTTTGTGGATTTCAGTTGGCTGCAGTTTTTGCAGACTCCTGCATTGAGTCCTCAGTTCCACACTTCATCATTCCCTGACAGCTGCAGCAGCAACTTTACAACTGTTGACAGACAAATGCTGCATCTGTGATGAAATGACATGGTTTCACAATGCCATGCTGTTTTTAGAAATGTGAAGCAAGCAGGTGTTGCTGTAGGAGTTCAGTCACCCAGCATTATTGAACTTTAGGCCACTGCTTTTGAGGTAATCATATTTCCATTTCACGTCACTTCATAGCAAAAAATGTACTTTTAACTCCAGGAGAGTAATCAGACAGCC